GTCTCCTGTGTCTCAACCCTATTCACACCCGTCTCCTGTGCCCCACCCATCCACACCTTTTTCCTGTGTGCCACCCCATCTTCTGTGTCACTACCATGTCCACGCCCATATCCTGTGTCCCACCCCTATCCACGCCCAATCTCCTGTATCCCACCCCTGTCCCATCTTCTGTGTCATCAATGCCCCATCTCCCGTGTCCCACCCCTATCCACACCGTCCCGTGTCCCCCCCATCCACACCTCAACTACATTGTGCCACCCCTGTCCACGCCCCATCTCCTGTGCCTCACTCCTGTCCACACCCCATCTCCTGTGTCCCACCTTTGTCCACACCCCATCTCCTGTATCCCACCTTTGTCCACACACCATCTCCTGTGTCCCACTCCTATCCACTTCCCATTTCCTATGTCCCAACCATGTCCACGTCCCATCTCCTGTGTCTCACTCATATCCATGTCCCATCTCCTGTGTCCCCACCGCTTTCCACATCCCATCTCCTGTGTCCAACCCCTATCCACATCCATCTCTTGTATCCCACCCGTTCACATCCAGTGTCCTGTATCCCACCCCTGTCCATGCCCCTATCCACGCTCCATCTTCTATGTCCCAACCCTATTCACACACATCTCCTGTTCCCCCCATCAGAGCCCCATCTCGTGTGTCCCACCGCTATTCACACCCCATCTCCTGTGTCCCCCCCATCAGAGCCTCATCTCCTGTGCCCCATCCCTATCCACACCCCATCTCCTGTGCCCTACCCATCCACACACATCATCTAGGTCCAAACTGTGCCCCACCCGTCCACGCCCCGTCTCCTGTGTCCCACTCCTACATGCCCAGTCTCCTTTGTCCCACCCATGACCACACCCCATCTCCTGTGTCCCACCCCTTTCCACATCCCATCTCCTGTGTCCCACCCCTATCAACATCCATCTCGTGTCCCACCCCTGTTCACATCCAGTGTCCTGTATCCCACCTCTGTCCACGCCTTGTCTCCTGTGTCCCACCCCTGTTCACGTCCCATCTTCTGTGTCCCAACCCTATACACACCCATTTCGTTTTCCCCCCCGTCAGAGCCCCATCTCCTGTGTCCCACCCCTATTCACACCCATCTCCTGTGTCCCCTCCGTCAGAGCCCCATCTTTATCCACACCCATCATCTAGGTCCCAACTGTGGCCACACCCATCCCATGTCCCCCCCCTGACCACGCCCCATCTCTTGTGTCCCACCCCCTTTCTATGCCCCATTACCTGTGTCCTACCCCTGTCCTTGGCTCATCTTCTGTGTCCCACACCTGTTCATGTCCTATCCCATGTCAAACCTCTATCCACACCCATCTCCTCTGTCCCACCCGTCTATGCCCAATCTCCTGTGTCCCACCCCTATCCATGCCCCATCTTCTGGGTCCCACCTCCATCCATGCCCTATCTCCGGTGTGCCACCTCTGTTCACTCCCCGTGTCCTGTATTCCACCCGTCCACGCCCCAATTCTCTTGTGTCCCACCCCTATACATGCTCCATTACCTATGTCTCACCTCTGTCCTTACCTCATCTTCCGTGACTCACCCTTGTCCACACCCCATCTCCTGTGTCCCATTCCTTTCCACACCCCGTCTCCTGTGTCCTCCCATGCCCACGCCCCGTCTCCTGTGTCCCACCCCTGCCCCGTCTCCTCCCATGCCCACGCCCCGTCTCCTGTGTCCCACCCATGTCTCCAGTCTCCTCCCATGCCCGCCCCGTCTCCCACCCCTGTCCACGCCCCGTCTCCAGTCTCCCAATCCTCCCATGCCCACGCCCCGTCTCCAGTCTCCCAACCCCTGCCCACGCCCCGTCTCCAGTCTCCCAACCCCTGCCCACGCCCCATCTCCAGTCTCCCAACCCCTGCCCACGCCTTATCTCCTGTTTCCCACTGCTGTCCACACCCCATCTCCTGTGTTCCACCCCTATCTTGTGTCCTACCTATGTCCACGCTCCATTTCCTGTGTCTCACCCCTTTCCACGTCCCATCTTCTGTGTCCCACCCCTGTCCACGTCCCATCTCCTGTGTCCCACCCCTGTCCACGTCCCATCTCCTGTGTCCCACCCCTGTCCATGCCATAACTCCTGTGTCCCACCCCTGTCCATGCCATAACTCCTGTGTCCCACCCCTGTCCATGCCATAACTCCTGTGTCCCACCCCTGTCAAAGTCCTGCCCTTGTTCTTCCACCATGTTCTGTGTCCCACTCCTGTCCACATCCACTCATGTCCACTGGGTATTTGCCCTCCCCCCCAGGAATTACACAGAACTCACAAACAGGAATAGATTTTATTCAAAGTCATCATAACCATCATGCAGTGAGCAGTAGAGCCACAATGGGCAGCAGAAATCCATCTCATTAAGTCTGGAGGCGCTGGAACCAGAAGTCAAATCCCAGCACCCTGCCAGTCCATTGGATAATATCCGCCGCTCCCTGGGATGCAGGAGCCGTGGCCCTTCCCAGGCTGGTTTTCAATGGCTGGTTCCCAGCTGGGAGTGCCCAGGCCGTATCCAGCATCCTGCAATGTCCACCATATCCAGAGCACAGCCATGTATACCATGAGACACTGTACATGGGGGTCCAAAGGGGCAGTCCTGGGACTTTTCCATGCAATAAAGATGTAACATATAGAAGTGGAGGAGGTGCCCCTACTGCTGAATATATGGGCGTCCCCCAAAATAAGGTCAGAAAGCAATGCTCCGCCCATTCCTACACAAACGTGGCATTCACATTACGGGAAAAATGAACCTACTACAGGTACACAGAGCAATATATACAGGAACCTAGGAGAGGTACTACAATGGTGGTATACAGATCAATATATACAAAACTCCAAAAAGAAAAAAAAAACTGAACGGGGAATGTGATCGTCCAATCAGGACCCGAGGATGTCCAGGGGCCGAAATGTCACCTGTGAAGGATATCCAGTAAAGTGCAGCTAGTGACTGAAGACCGTAAAGGGGGGATGGGGAGAATACAGGAACTGCATTATGGGTAATCTTCGGGGACTGACAGGTCACAGTCCGTGGTGGCATTATGGGTAATATTCGGGAACTGACAGGTCATGGTCTGTGGTGGTATTATGGGTAATATTCGGGGACTGACAGGTCACGGTCCGTGGTGGCATTATGGGTAATATTCGGGGACTGACAGGTCACGGTCCGTGGTGGCATTATGGGTAATATTAGGGGACTGACAGGTCACGGTCCGTGGTGGCATTATGGGTAATATTAGGGGACTGACAGGTCACGGTCCGTGGTGGCCATTATGGATAACATTCGGGGACTGGCGTGTCACGGACCGTGGTGGCATTATGGGTAATATTTGGGGACTGACAGGTCACGGTCCGTGGTGGTATTATGGGTAATATTTGGGGACTGACAGGTCACGGTCCGTGGTGGCATTATGGGTAATATTCGGGGACTGACAGGTCACGGTCCGTGGTGGCATTATGGATAACATTCGGGGACTGGCGTGTCACGGACCGTGGTGGCATTATGGGTAATATTTGGGGACTGACAGGTCACGGTCTGTGGTGGTATTATGGATAATATTCGGGGACTGACAGGTCACGGTCCGTGGTGGTATTATGGATAATATTCGGGGATTGGCGTGTCACGGACCGTGGTGGCATTATGGGTAATATTTGGGGACTGACAGGTCACGGTCCGTGGTGGTATAATGGGTAATATTGGGGACTGACAGGTCACGGTCTGTGGTGGTATTATGGATAATATTCGGGGACTGACAGGTCACGGTCCGTGTGGTGGTATTATGGGATAATATTCGGGGACTGACAGGTCATGGTCCGTGGTGGTATTATGGATAATATTCGGGGACTGACAGGTCACGGTCCGTGGTGGTATTATGGATAATATTCGGGGACTGACAGGTCACTGTCCGTGGTGGTATTATGGGTAATATTCGGGGACTGACAGGTCACGGTCCGTGGTGGTATTATGGATAATATTCGGGGACTGACAGGTCACGGTCCGTGGTGGTATTATGGATAATATTCGGGGACTGACAGGTCACTGTCCGTGGTGGTATTATGGGTAATATTCGGGGACTGGCGTGTCACGGTCTGTGGTGGTATTATGGGTAATATTCGGGGACTGGCGTGTCACGGTCCGTGGTGGTATTATGGATAATATTCGGGGACTGGCGTGTCACGGTCCGTGGTGGTATTATGGGTAATATTCGGGGACTGGCGTGTCACGGTCCGTGGTGGTATTATGGATAATATTCGGGGACTGGGCGTGTCACGGTCCGACCGAGGTGGTATTATGGGTTATATACGGGGACTGGCGTGTCACGGACCGTGGTGGCATTATGGGTAATATTTGGGGACTGACAGGTCACGGTCCGTGGTGGCATTATAGGTAATTTTTGGGGGGACAGGTCAGGGTCCGAGGTGGCATTATGGGTAATATTCGGGGACTGGCGTGTCGCAGTCCGAGGTGGTATTATGGGTAATATTCGAGGACTGGCGTGTCACGGTCTGTGGTGGCATTATGGGTAATATTCGGGGACTGGCGTGTCACGGTCTGTGGTGGCATTATGGGTAATATTCGGGAACTGGCGTGTCATGGACCAGGTGGCATTATGGGTAATATTCGAGGACTGGCGTGTCACGGTTCAAGGTGGCATTATGGGTAATATTCGGGGACTGGCGTGTCACGGTTCGAGGTGGCATTATGGGTAATATTCGGGGATCACGGTCCATAGTGGTATATGTACAGTATACAGGCAATGATTTGTTGCAATCCAAGCTGGTGTTTCGGGGTCAGCCGTGGTTCTACATTTTGTGGACGGATGTCCACATTGGGTCAGGCTGCAGGAAAAGCTGCCAACAGCGAAGAAGCAGTAACATTCACACACAAAGCGAGGAAGCATCGAATATACATTTCCTGGTAATAGGGGGACCTGGGGTGCCGGACTGAGGGGCCCAATACTGGAGGTGAAGACGGAGAAGTCCCAACTCACTCCTTGGCTTTGCCGATTATGGCCAGGATGTACAGGAAGATGTTGATGATATCTGTGTAGAGATTGAGGGCAGCAAAGACGTATTCCTCAGGACTCAGCGCCAACTGCTTGTTACCCAGAATCATCTGCGTGTCCACGGCCAGGAACTACAGGGGAGAGAGCAACACATTCATCCAGAGAACTGCCATTTTCAATGTAGAACCATCAAACCTCCCGCCAGACAGAACCCAGAACATCCCTCTCCGAAGTCACTACACCTACCATCCATGAACTGAAAGGTAAGGAGGGCAGGACGACACATGGACGGAGGGCATGACGACATGGCATGGGCCGGAGGAGGAGCGGAGGGCAGGACGACACCACGGCGTGGGCCGGAGGAGGAGCGGAGGGCAGGACGACACCACAATGTGGGCCGGAGGAGGAGCAGAGGGCAGGACGACACCACAATGTGGGCCGGAGGAGGAGTGGAGGGCAGGACGACACCACAATGTGGGCCGGAGGAGGAGTGGAGGGCAGGACGACACACCCCGGCGCGAGCCGGAGGAGGGCAGGGAGCGGAGGGCAGGACGACACCACGGCGGGGGCCAGAGGAGGAACGGAGGGCAGGACGACACCACGGCGGGGGCCAGAGGAGGAACGGAGGGCAGGACACCACAGCGTGGGACGGAGGAGGAGCTGAGGGCAGGACAACACCATGGCGGGGCTGGAGGTGGTTTGGAGGGTAGGAGGACACAATGGTGTGGACCAGAGGTGGTTTGGAGGGTAGGAGGACACAATGGTGTGGGCCAGAGGTGGTTTGGAGGGTAGGAGGACACAATGGTGTGGCTCATTTTGCCACCTGTAGAAGGTGTGAGAAGTGGAAGGTGGTGGGGCTCCATTCACTCTCACCCATGAAGACAATAGGATTACACCATCGCCTGTCTAGTTTGTAGGGAATTTGGAAGAGGCAGATGACATCACCAGTACTCTGCTAGTGGGAGGCGCTAGGGCAGATCTATTTTCCCCTCCCATAGTGGTCTGTGTCTTCCCAGGACCCCCGTATGCTGGGCTACGACTTCCCGGCAACGGCTTATTCCTAGATCTGGTCCAGCACCCGAGGAGTTACACGGGTAAGACACGTCAGAGAAGATTAGACTTAATCCCGGGAATTGAGGCTTCTTATAGTTCTCCGTGTGACCTTCACGTGTCATTCCAATCCCACGCCAGTACGCCGCCCTCCATGGTAATGCCGCTTTTGTCTCTCCATGCACCGAACGGTGTCCACCTCGAAGCGGTACAATAGCAACTGAACTGCGGCGTGAAGTGATGTCATATTTTAGTAGTGAAAACTTGCGGTCTTTTACCGCCACGTCCTCATCTATGACTCATCTGTTGTCAGGGGGATTCCTCGCTGATGGCAGAATGTAAACAAAGGATCTGGTGCAGGAGGGCTGGGGGTGGCGGCGGGCACGGAAGGGTCGGGGCGGCGGCATGCAGGGGAGGGCACGGGAGGGCCGGGGCGGCGGCACGCAGGGGAGGGCACACGGGCGGCGGCACGCAGGGGAGGGCACGGGAGGGCGGGGCGGCGGCACGCAGGGGAGGGCACGGGAGGGCCGGGGCGGCGGCACGCAGGGGAGGGCACGGGAGGGCGGCACTGGACTACTACTCAGCTGAGGACAGGCTCTAAGTATCTACAAGGCCAAGTGCCGTGGAACTCTGGTCTCCTACAATCTACTTTTCCTCCATTTCCATGCTAGCAGGAGGACAGGCTGAGGCTCGCAGTACCGGAGAGGCTGACATGACACCTCCACAGTACACTAGGTGGAGAATTACTAAAACTGGGGCACTCAGAATCTGGGGCAGCTGTACATGGCAACCAATCAGCTTCTTCAATGAAGCTTTGACAACAAACCCTGGTTTCTATGCAGAGCTGCTCCAGATGTTGAACTCTCCAGTTTTAGTAAATCTCCTCTGATGGGTAGAAGCTGATGGACCTCTGATGGTCAGTTGGGTGTGTCGCCCATACGGCTCAGATTTCGGTCTCCATAGTCCAGGTCTGGGAGGAGAACAGCACCGTAGAACTTACACATGTGAAGAGCAGAGCGCCCAGCGCAGCGTACACTATCTGCAGGATCTTGTTACGGATGAAGATGCAAAGGATGGAGAAGATGATTAGGACCACCAGGCTGACCATTAGGACACCCATACAGGATGTGAAGTCATACTTTGTCTGCATGTGGAGAGAAGAGACAGCGAAGTTACAGATGGATCTAAAGAATGAACAAAAAAAAACACAAGTGGGAGGACGACCGCCACACCAGGGACACAGGGGGGCTGAATATTGGTATACTTTGTCCCCCTGTGGCGAAGGACACTCGAGGGTGGAATTTGGGCGTACCTCTGACCTTCAATCCGCTCCTCCCCTCCCCCCCCCCACCTTTCCCCAGGGCTAAAGACACACCAGGGGCTGAAGAAAATCTGATCGGAATATTATGTAAGCCTCGTACCCGATCCTCTATCCCTGCTAGGGCCAAGAGCAGAGTGGAAGCCTGGGTAGACTAGGTCTAGATATTGGGTGCACCCTGTACCCCAGATCCTCTACCCCTTTCCCCTCCCCCCACCACAGTTATCAGCTTCAAGCTCCTGTGTCATTAATACATTGTATGTCCTTCAACCTCACAAGTTATTTCTAAGAGCCCATTCCTACCAGGAACGGCCCATTTCTGCATTGGTGGTGCATCTGTTTCTAAGATTGCATTTCATTTGAGATTTCTTCAGTCTTCTTTGGGCTTTTATGTGCACTGCAGTAGTGTGAAGTATAGGTGTCCTGCCCACAGGGTCACCTTACCTTAGGGTGACCTGCCCATAGGTAGGATGTCCTGCCCACAGGTCACCTTATCTTAGGATGTCCTGTCCACAGGGTCACCTTACCTTAGGTGACCTGCCATAGGATAGGATGTCCTGCCCACAGGGTTTACCTTAGGGTGACCTACCATAGGATAGGATGTCCTGCCCACAGGGTCACCTTACCTTAGGGTGACCTGCCCATAGGATAGGATGTCCTGCCCACAGGGTCACCTTACCTTAGGATGTCCTGTCCACAGGGTCACCTTACCTTAGTGTGTCCTGCCATAGGATAGGGTGTCCTGCCCACAGGATCACCTTACCTTAGCGTGTCCTGCCATAGGATAGGGTGACCTGCCCATAGGATAGGATGTCCTGCCCACAGGGTCACCTTACCTTAGGATGTCCTGTCCACGGGGTCACCTTACCTTAGTGTGTCCTGCCATAGGATAGGGTGTCCTGCCCACAGGATCACCTTACCTTAGCGTGTCCTGCCACAGGATAGGGTGACCTGCCCATAGGATGTCCTGCCCACAGGGTCACCTTACCTTAGGGTTCGGAATGTGGCACAGGATATATTACATGGGCCATGCCACCAGAAAAGTGTCAGAAGTGTCTCAACCTAATTGCCCTGAATTGGAAGCCTTCTTAGTCATCTGCTGCACTTTGCATACATGTGCAGCTCCGTGTACATTACCATATGCTGGGATATAGTAATTTCCACACATGCGCTATGTCATCCTGGGTCAGCCAATCAAGATGGCAGAAAATCCCGAGCCAGGTAGAAGCCTGCACTGCTGATGGAACTTGTGGCTGTTGCATGACTGGATCAGAGGAGAGTACAGTTCTGGGCTTACAGGCAATATTCCTGATTATTTTGGACAGAGTACACAAGGGTCAGAACCTCTGGCAGGGTTTTTATTTCTTTGCTCCTGCTGGGGAGAGTCGCCTTCTCCATTTGTCTCGCTGATTATTGTCACCAAGACTGAAAGTGATGGAAAAATCCAACATTATAAAGTTGTCACCAGAAGAAAAGAGGGGCAATTGGAATCCAATGGGGACACTTGCTCTGCTGACCAAAGCTGGCCATACACGAAGATCTTCATTCAGATGATCACAGAAACTGCATCCAGACATCCTACATGAATGGAACCCTCACATACTAAACACCCAAATCAAAGTTCAAACATTTCCATTCATCTTTTCTTACCGTGAGGAAAACCGTATCTATAAGCAGGTACACAAGTTCTGAATTAGAGGGTCCCGCCATTTGCTCCCCAGCACAGTGTCTGGCCAGGGTGGCATCCGTTGTGATCTCCATCTAGTTCTACGGGAGAAAAGCCTTCCCCGCCACCAGCACCACATCCACCATGTGAGGGAGGGCTTGGCCTCCACCAACAGGTGCATGGGGCGATCAAGAGAAGATGACCATTTGTCCCACAGAACAACTACGTCAGAACACTCTTCTTAACAATCTGGAGTAAATATGAGCATACAGCACCACCTCAAATGAGGCCACCATCAAAACCAGAACTCTCATGCAAAATGTAGACTCCATCTGTTGATGTAGAGCCAAGGCATTTTTCTGGAGGATGAATATCCAACCAAAGGCTGTTCATGGATTGTCAGCAGCGCATTGGCAGAACATTCTCACTATAAAATCATTCCACAATGTGAACACCCTGAGAATGAAGAAAGGCAAGGATTGGGGCCAGCACCTTTGTAAACACTCCAGAGGCCATAAACAGGTCAAAAGGCAGCACTACAAATGGAAGACGTTTCTTGTCCAAGGCAAGCTGTTGAAATCGTTCATGCAGAGGACCAATAGGGACAAAAGCATCTCCGATGTCTATTGGAAAAAGAAAATCCCCCAGGGGAAGAGAGGCAACTGACCTGGTAGATTCCAGATGAATCCACCTGATGTGGAGTTTTCAGACACATTTGTTGAGGAGCTTGAATTCTAAAATAGGATGCACATCTCTGGTTTTAGAGCCATGAACAGAACAAAATCCCTGAAATCATTCAACTGGGATGGGTACCTCAACCCCCAAAGAAAAGAAGCTGTTGGACGGCAATCTGAAGAGCCCATTCTCATTCTCAAGAAGGAAGGTTCAAAGTCGTAAATCTGGGAGGGGAAGGAGAAACTCCAGTTTGTAGCCTTAGGTAGCGACAGACTGAACCCAAAGGTCTGGAATGTTCCAAATCCAGATAATTAAAAGGAGGCCAACCTTCCACTCAAAGAAAGTCCAAGGTTTGCATCGTATCTGCTTTCCTGGTGTAAATCTGGAGGACTAGGCCCATGGGGACAAAAAGAACCCTTCCTCTGAGTAGAGGTTGAAGACTTTATGTGAAAGTATGATCTCTCCCCCCTCAGTGATCTCTGATGAAAGATTTCTCACCAGACTTCCTCTCAAAGGGAATTCATTCCAGCCGCTTTCTGCACACCGGTTCTGCTTACCAGAATTTTAGCCACAGGAGTCTGCACATCTGGATGGATAGGAGGCCCGCCCTAGACATCCCAGGAACTGGGGAGAGGTCATGTGTCCGCAGATATGCGATCCATGAACCCTTCCCTGTGAGTAGCACACGAGGTCTCCTGCACCATGCTGCAACAGGGAATTATTCATTTGATGCAGCTGAGTGTAAAGATGGCCATCATGACACCTTGTACATGCGCAGTCCATTTGTACCACTCAGGGCCCCAAGAAGGGCACTAGAACCACCCAGGTCTGTCCATGGCAGGGCCCAAGAGGTGGGAAAAATCTCGGCCTCCTCAATTGTTATGCCAGAAACAGAGACCGGAGAGGGAGGCCAGGTGGCAAGTGGACCTCCAATCAGGACCATAGGGAAGACCCCACTTTGTGAGGGTAGGGAGGCACCAGGGGCCCTACTCATAATACAGCCAACATCCAACCCAGGAAGAAGAGAGGATTAACCCTTACACCCCTGAATTTACTCACTTCAGAAATCAGCCTTTAGGATCCAGTGCCAAGTGACATTACAGACCAGTCCAGAGTGCGCTCCCTGAAGCTTTAGCTACCGGACACCGATCTCAAAGATTTGGTCACACCAATTTGGATTGCCTGTGTCCTGGACCGCTACAGCACCCCGCTCCCTGCATCAAACCCAATGCAGGAACCAGCACCCAAACACACTTTACAGACTGGCCCCATATCTTCTCTGGTGGGTCTGGGTACAGGTCACCAAACCAAGCCGATGTGGCCACAACACAGTGGGGAAATATGCTCCATCTTACCAATCCTTAGATGCCTGCCTAGAACTGAGGATTGCTGGGAGAGGGAGGGGTTATATGGGGTCCTCTCACCTGAAGATGCCTGCCTAGAACTGAGGATTGCTGGGAGAGGGAGGGGTTATATGGGGTCCTCCCACCTGAAGATGCCTGCCTAGAACTGAGGATTGCTGGGAGAGGGAGGGGTTATATGGGGACCCTCCCACCTGAAGATGCCTGCCTAGAACTGAGGATTGCTGGGAGAGGGAGGGGTTATATGGGGTCCTCCCACCTGAAGATGCCTGCCTAGAACTGAGGATTGCTGGGAGAGGGAGGGGTTATATGGGGTCCTCCCACCTGAAGATGCCTGCCTAGAACTGAGGATTGCTGGGAGTGGGAGGGGTTATTTGGGGACCCTCCCACCTGAAGGTGCCTGCCTAGACTGAGGATTGCTGGGAGTGGGAGGGGTTATTTGGGGACCCTCCCACCTGAAGGTGCCTGCCTAGGACTGAGGATTGCTGGGAGTGGGAGGGGTTATTTGGGGACCCTCCCACCTGAAGGTGCCTGCCTAGGCCTGAGGACTGGGAGTGGGAGGGGTTATTTGGGGACCCTCCCACCTGAAGGTGCCTGCCTAGGACTGAGGATTGCTGGGAGTGGGAGGGGTTATTTGGGGACCCTCCCACTTGAAGGTGCCTGCCTATAACCGGTTGTCAGAGTCTGCACATGCTCTGTATGAACACAGAGGGATTTTGCGGTGAGGACGAACATTTTGTTTCTACATCAAAGTCCATCAAATGTTGCATCACTAAACCCGATATCTCACCCGCCACCCTCTCCTGAACCAATAAACTCACTAACTGCAAGAAAGTAGTGGGATGTCCCCCGTGGGCTCTGTGAGCTCAGACAGTGTCATATTGCACAAGGATCTAATGAGAAGCCTGGTGTCAGCAGCTGTACAGCCAATAGTAGGTGGACCCGACCACATGGTGCCCAGAGGTTACCAGTGAAGGGCATTGCCAACGCAACATCATAGAAATCCATATTACCACCCCCCCCCCCACCCCACCTACCTGCATGGAGAAGAGGACAACAGTGAAGCAGACTGCGGCGGTGATCCCGATCGCCATTATTACCGCTTCGGTGTCATAAAAGCTGGCGATCATTCCAACCATGTATGACAAGCTGAGGGTCAGGATGGACTAAAGAGACAGAAGAGACATCTAAGAAGGCGTTCCTCACCCGAGCCATGGAGCACACCAGACACTCGGAAGGGAGGGAGGGAGGACACGCGGGAGGGAGGGCGGGAGGACACGCGGGAGGACACGCGGGAGGGAGGGCGAGAGGGAGGACACGCGGGAGGGAGGGCGAGAGGGAGGACACGCGGGGAGGGCGAGAGGGGGAGGACACGCGGGAGGGAGGACACGCGGGAGGGAGGACACGCGGGAGGGGAGGGAGGGGACACGCGGGAGGGAGGACACGCGGGAGGGAGGACACGCGGGAGGGAGGGACACGCGGGAGGGAGGACACGCGGGAGGGAGGACACGCGGGAGGGAGGACACGGGCGGGAGGGAGGACACGCGGGAGGGAGGACACGCGGGAGGGAGGGCGAGAGGGGAGGACACGCGGGAGGGAGGGCGAGAGGGAGGACACGCGGGAGGGAGGGCGAGAGGGAGGACACGCGGGAGGGAGGGCGAGAGGACGGACACGCGGGAGGGAGGGCGAGAGGACGGGCGGGCGAGAGAGGACGGGCGGGCGGGAGGACGGGCGGGCGGGAGGAGAGGACGGGCGGGCGGGAGGAGGGACGGGCGGGCGGGAGGAGAGGGCGGGCACGCGAGAGGGAGGGAGGGCGGCGAGAGGGCGGGCACGCGAGAGGGAGGGAGGGAGGGCGGGGCGGGCACGGCGAGAGGGAGGAGGGCCGGGGCACGCGAGAGGGAGGGAGGGCCGGCGGGCACGCGAGAGGGAGGGAGGGCCGGCGGGCACGCGAGAGGGGGAGGGAGGGCCGGCGGGCACGCGAGAGGGAGGGAGGGCCGGCGGGCACGCGAGAGGGAGGGAGGGCCGGCGGGCACGCGAGAGGGAGGGAGGGCCGGCGGGCACGGCGAGAGGGAGGGGAGGGCCGGCGGGCACGCGAGAGGGAGGGAGGGCCGGCGGGCACGCGCGAGAGGGAGGGAGGGCCGAGCGGGGCGGGCACGCGAGAGGGAGGGAGGGCCGGCGGGCACGCGAGAGGGAGGGAGGGCCGGCGGGCACGCGAGAGGGAGGGAGGGCCGGCGGGCACGCGAGAGGGAGGGAGGGCGGCGGGCACGCGAGAGGGAGGGAGGGGCGGGCGGGCACGCGAGAGGGAGGGAGGGCCGGCGGGCACGCGAGAGGGAGGGAGGGCCGGCGGGCACGCGAGAGGGAGGGAGGGCCGGCGGGCACGCGAGAGGGAGGGAGGGCCGGCGGGCACGCGAGAGGGAGGGAGGGCCGGGCGGGCGGAGGGCCGGCGGGCACGCGAGAGGGAGGGAGGGCGGCGCGCGAGAGGGAGGAGGGCGCGGGAGACGGGAGGGAGGGGGGCCGGCGGGCACGCGAGAGGGAGGGAGGGCCGGCGGGCGCGCGAGAGGGAGGGAGGGCCGGCGGGCACGCGAGAGGGAGGGAGGGCCGGCGGGCACGCGAGAGGGAGGGAGGGCCGGCGGCACGCGAGAGGGAGGGAGGGCCGGCGGGCACGCGAGAGGGAGGGAGGGCCGGCGGGCACGCGAGAGGGAGGGAGGGCCGGCGGGCACGCGAGAGGGAGGGAGGGCCGGCGGGCACGCGAGAGGGAGGGAGGGCCGGCGGGCACGCGAGAGGGAGGGAGGGCCGGCGGGCACGCGAGAGGGAGGGAGGGCCGGCGGGCACGCGAGAGGGAGGGAGGGCCGGCGGGGCGGAGAGGGACGGGAGGGAGGGAGAGGGAGGGAGGGCGGGCACGCGAGAGGGAGGGCGGGAGGGGCGGGCACGCGAGAGGGAGGGCGGGGGCGGACACGCGCGAGAGGGAGGGCGGGCGGGCGGACACGCGGAGAGAGGGAGGGCAGGGGCGGACACGCGAGAGGGAGGGAGGGCGGGCGGGCGGACACGCGAGAGGGAGGGCGGGCAGGGGCGGACACGCGAGAGGGAGGGCGGGGCAGGGGCGGACACGCGAGAGGGGAGGGCGGGCGGGGCGGACACGCGAGAGGGAGGGCGGGCGGGCGGACACGCGAGAGGGAGGGCGGGGGCGGGCGGACACGCGGAGAGGGAGGGAGGGAGGAAGGGCGGGCGGACACGCGAGAGGGAGGGAGGAGGAAGGGCGGGCGGACACGCGAGCGGGAGGGAGGGAGGGAGGGCAGGGCGGGCGGACACGCGAGAGGGAGGGGGAGGGGGAGGGCGGGCAGGCAGACACGCGGGAGGGAGGGTGGGCAGGCAGCGGACACGCGGGAGGGAGGGCGGGCAGGGCAGACACGCGGGAGGGAGGGCGGGCAGGCAGGCGGACACGCGGGAGGGAGGGCGGGCAGGCAGACACGCGGGAGGGAGGGGGCGGGCAGGCAGACACGCGGGAGGGAGGGCGGGCAGGCAGGCGGCAGACACGCGGGGGAGGGAGGGCGGGCAGGCAGGCAGACACGCGGGAGGGAGGGCGGGCGGGCAGGCAGACACGCGGGAGGGAGGGCGGGCGGGCAGGCAGACACGCGGGAGGGAGAGGGCGGGCGGGCAGGCAGACACGCGGGAGAGGGAGGGCGGGCGGGCAGGCAGACACGCGGGAGGGAGGGCGGGCGGGCAGGCAGACACGCGGGAGGGAGGGCGGGCGGGCAGGCAGGCGGACACGCGGGAGGGAGGGCGGGCGGGCAGGCAGACACGCGGGAGGGAGGGCGGGCGGGCAGGCAGACACGCGGGAGGGAGGGAGGGCGGGCGGGCAGGCAGACACGCGGGAGGGAGGGCGGGCGGGCAGGCGGACACGCGGGAGGGAGGGGGCGGGCGGGCAGGCAGACACGCGGGAGGGAGGGCGGGCGGGCAGGCAGACACGCGGGAGGGAGGGCGGGCGGGCAGGCAGACACGCGGGAGGGAGAGGGCGGGCGGGCAGGCGGGTGGACACGCGAGAGGGAGGGAGGGAGGAAGGGCAGGCAGGCGGACACGCGGGAGGGAGGGAGGGTGGGCGGTCAGGCAGGCGGACACGCGGGAGGGAGGGAGGGAGGGCGGCGGGCAGGCAGGGGGAGGGAGGGCGGGCAGCCGGGCGGGTGGGCACGCGGGAGGGAGGGCGGGCAGCCGGGGGGTGGGCACGCGGGAGGGAGGGCGGGCAGGTAGGAGGGGCGGGTGGGGTACACAAGAGGGAGGGCGGGGCGGGTAGGCAGGCGGACACCGGGAGGGAGGGCGGGCAGGCAGGCGGGTGGACACGCAAGAGGGAGGGAGGGAGGAAGGGCAGGCAGGCGGACACGGAGGGCGGGAGGGAGGGGGGGTGGGGGTCAGGCAGGCGGACACGCGGGAGGGAGGGAGGGCGGCGGGGCAGGCGGACACGCGGGAGGGAGGGCGGGCAGCCGGGCTGGTGGGCACGCGGGCAGGCGGTGGTGGGTACGCAAGAGGGAGGGCGGGCGGGTAGGCAGGCGGACACCCGGGAGGGAGGGCGGGCAGGCAGGCAGGGGTGGACACGCGAGAGGGAGGTATTGCAGGCAGGCGGACATACCAGCGCCACCAGATTCCATGGGTGTCGGCGGCGGAAGTCCCCGCAGCAGCTGAGAGTGATGAGGGAGCAGAAGAAGATGGCGTAGGACAGGTAATAGGTCCAGGTGTTCCTCTTCACATAAACCCGAACTTCCTCCACAAAGGTGAAGACCGCCACAAAGGCGAAGGTGACCAGAAGCTGAGCCGTGAGGACCAGGAAGACCTGCGAGATGAAAGACACGTGAGATCGAGAGATGGCACCACCAAACCAACCAATCAGATCTGCAGGATACAGAACAATGCTCCCATAGATGGCTTTGCCTCAATCAGTAAAGAAAATCCACTTCATTTCCATGGCCCTCGTGGACAGTCAGATATGAAGGGGGGGCCACTATAATAATTGGGGGTCTCTGAGCTACAAAACGCTCTGGTGTGAACGCAGCCCAAAGACAGCCATACATTATACAATTTCTGTACAATCTCCTTTCGATTTCCCTTCAACCACGTAGTGCCAGGACCAGAATGGATACAAAATGACAGTGTTGTTGAGGTGTGACCTCGTTATTGTACAATGTATGGCCAGGTGACGGGGGCGGGGCAAACTGGAATATTATCGTTATTGCACCTAAAAATATTCTGTAGAACATTTCACCCGAAAATAACTTTGGCAACCATTCCATTAAATGTTATAACCCTTCCCTAGAATCAGAGCCGCGATCTGGGGTCCTTGCAGAGACCCCCAGAAGCAGCACCCTGATCTGGGGTCCCTACACAGAGACCCCCTAGAATCAGAGCCCGATCTGGGGTCCCTACGCAGAGACCCCCTAGAATCAGAGCCCCGATCTGGGGTCCCTACGCAGAGACCCCCTAGAATCAGAGCCCGATTTGGGGTCCCTACGCAGAGACCCCCTAGAATCAGAGCCCCGATCTGGGGTCCCTATACAGAGACCCCCTAGAAGCAGAGCCCCGATCCGGGGTCCCTGTGCAGAGATCCCCAGAAGCAGCGCCCCGATCTGGGGTCCCTGTGCAGAGACCCCCAGAAGCAGAGCCTCAATCTGGGGTCCCTCCATTGGGTACGATTGGTGTAGAGAGACGACTCGTTGCACAGTTGAGCCAATTAATGTGGCCGGTATCACACACACCGCCATCTCCCAGGATGAGGGTCTGCAGGACTGGCCAAAGCTAGACAGCTGACCGACATGCCACCATCACTAGCCAATCAATGGACACAATGGCCTACCCGCCCCCCCCAGGAATAGATGGAGTCATTCATCTTCCCCAACCGATCCACAGAACAGAGGAATCTCACCTTCCGGATGAACGCTCTCCGAATACTTTTATCATCCCAGTGGCTGGTGGGGAAGTCCTGGTTGTCACAGTATGATGGGGGCCCCTCCTCGTGGTAGGTGGTACTGTGTATAGGGGAGCCAAAAGTCTGCAAAACAAACAAACAGTGAGTGAGGGAGACAGAGAAGGAAATGGTGGAGGACACCACAAGGCGGGGTTATGGTGGAGGACCCCCATCACTGGACACACAAGGCGGGGTTACGGTGGAGGACCCCCATCACTGGACACACAAGGCGGGGTTATGGTGGAGGACCCCCATCACTGGACACACAAGGCGGGGTTATGGTGGAGGACCCCATCACTAGACACACAAGGCGGGGTTACGGTGGAGGACCCCCATCACTGGACACACAAGGCGGGGGGTTACGGTGGAGGACCCCATCACTGGACACACAAGGCGGGGTTATGGTGGAGGACCCCCATCACTAGACACACAAAGGCGGGGTTATGGTGGAGGACCCCCATCACTGGACACACAAGGCGGGGTTATGGTGGAGGAGGACCCCCATCACTGGACACACAAGGCGGGGTTATGGTGGAGGACCCCCATCACTGGACACACAAGGCGGGGTTATGGTGGAGGACCCCCATCACTGGACACACAAGGCGGGGTTATGGTGGAGGGACCCCCATCACTGGACACACAAGGCGGGGTTATGGTGGAGGACCCCCATCACTGGACACACAAGGCGGGGTTATGGTGGAGGACCCCCATCACTGGACACACAAGGCGGGGTTATGGTGGAGGACCCCCATCACTGGACACACAAGGCGGGGTTATGGTGGAGGAGGACCGCCATCACTGGACACACAAGGCGGGGGTTATGGTGGAGGACCCCCATCACTAGACACACAAGGCGGGGTTATGGTGGAGGACCCCCATCACTGGACACACAAGGCGGGGTTATGGTGGAGGAGGACAGCCATCACTGGACACACAAGGCGGGGTTATGGTGGAGGACCCCCCATCACTGGACACACAAGGCGGGGTTATGGTGGAGGACCCCCATCACTGGACACACAAGGCGGGGTTATGGTGGAGGACCCCCATCACTGGACACACAAGGCGGGGTTATGGTGGAGGAGGACCGCCATCACTGGACACACAAGGCGGGGTTATGGTGGAGGACCCCCATCACTAGACACACAAGGCGGGGTTATGGTGGAGGACCCCCATCACTGGACACACAAGGCGGGGTTATGGTGGAGGACCCCCATCACTGGACACACAAGGCGGGGTTATGGTGGAGGACCCCCATCACTGGACACACAAGGCGGGGTTATGGTGGAGGACCCCCATCACTGGACACACAAGGCGGGGTTATGGTGGAGGACCCCCATCACTGGACACACAAGGCGGGGTTACGGTGGAGGAGGACCCCCATCACTGGACACACAAGGCGGGGTAATGGTGGAGGACCCCCATCACTAGACACACAAGGCGGGGTTATGGTGGAGGACCCCCATCACTAGACACACAAGGCGGGGTTGTGGTGGAGGACCCCCATCACTGGACACACAAGGCGGGGTTATGGTGGAGGACCCCCATCACTGGACACACAAGGCGGGGTTATGGTGGAGGACCCCCATCACTGGACACACAAGGCGGGGTTACGGTGGAGGAGGACCCCCATCACTGGACACACAAGGCGGGGTAATGGTGGAGGACCCCCATCACTAGACACACAAGGCGGGGTTATGGTGGAGGACCCCCATCACTGGACACACAAGGCGGGGTTATGGTGGAGGACCCCCATCACTGGACACACAAGGCGGGGATATGGTGGAGGAGGACCGCCATCAGTGGACACACAAGGGGGGGTTATGGTGGAGGACCCCCCATCACTGGACACACAAGGCGGGGTTATGGTGGAGGACCCCCATCACTGGACACACAAGGCGGGGTTATGGTGGAGGACCCCCATCACTGGACACACAAGGCGGGGTTATGGTGGAGGACCCCCATCACTGGGCACACAAGGCGGGGTATATGGTGGAGGAGGACCGCCATCACTGGACACACAAGGCGGGGATATGGTGGAGGAGGACCTCCATCACTACACACACAAGGCGGGGTTACGGTGGAGGACCCCCATCACTGGACACACAAGGCGGGGTTATGGTGGAGGACCCCCATCACTAGACACACAAGGCGGGGGTTATGGTGGAGGACCCCCATCACTGTATTGGAGGCCACACATACAGAGTGGGGGGGGGGAGGGGTATTAGAGGCCGCACATACAGAGTGGGGGGGGAGGGTATTAGAGGCCACACATACAGAGCGGGGGGGGGGGGGGGGGGTATTAGAGGCCATACATACAGAGCGGTGGGGGGGGGGGGGGGTATTAGAGGCCGCACATACAAAGAACAGGCAGAAGGGAGCGCTCTCTACTCACCGCTTTGCTCCGATGGGTATCCGCCCTGTACATACGGAGGGTGCTGGTAGGGCTGGCTGGGATAGGGCTGGATGGGATAGGGCCCGCTGGGATAGGGCCCGCTGGGATAGGGCCCTTGGTTGTATGCTGGAGGGTATATGGGGGGTTGAGCCATGGGTGGGTGTGTGGGGTAGGGAACGGTATTGGGGTACGGGACCTCAGTGGGGTACATGACAGGGCAGTAGTAGGGTAGGGGTCGGTAGTAGGGTAGGGTACGGTGGGTGCCCATACACTGGCGGTGGAGGCGGAGCTTGTCCTGCAGGGTATGGAGGGCAGGAGTAGGGATCTCCGGTCACCAGGAAGCTCTTCTCATGCGACATCTTTACTGGCGTCCGATTCGAAGCCTGAAGGTGCGACAATCTGCAGAGAGAAGAAGACCATCAGCCTGCAATGCTGTGGGAGAACCATTGGGGGGCGCTGGACTGATCGAAATGTGGAAGACCACGGGTTTCAATATTTCACCCAATTACAATGTGCCATGACATATACCATGGCGGAGTACAGACGTCTCTGCTGACCCTCCTACAATAACACAATGAGCCAATCCAGACAGGACGGGCCCCCGTGTGACTTCATCAGGGGCCCCAGGAGGGAGCTTCCATCTTCTATAGAAAGAATACATAGGATATAAAGGCGAGGGGTACAACAGACGCGGAGGAGGGGTGCGGGAGGGGTACAACACGCGTGCGGGAGGGGTACAACAGACGTGCGGGAGGGGTACAACACGCGTGCAGGAGGGGTACAACACGCGTGCAGGAGGGGTACAACAGACGTGCGGGAGGGGTACAGCACACGTGCGGGAGGGGTGCAAGAGGGGTACAAAACACGTGCGGGAGGGGTGCAACACACCCGTAGGAGGGGTACAACAGACGCGGAGGAGGGGTACGGGAGGGGTAACACACACACGCGGAGGAGGGGTGTGGGAGGGGTACAACACATGTGGAGAGAGGGGTGCGGGGGGGGTACAACACATGTGGAGGAGGAGGGGTGCGGGAGGGGTACAACACATGTGGAGGAGGGGTGCGGGAGGGGTAGAACACATGTGCGGGAGGGGTACAACAGACGCGGAGGAGGGGTACGGGAGGGGTACAACACATGTGCGGGAGGGGTACAACAGACGCGGAGGAGGGGTACGGAAGGGGTACAACACACGTGCGGGAGGGGTACAACACACGCGGAGGAGGGGTACAACACACGCGGAGGAGGGGTACAACACACGCGGAGGAGGGGTACAACACATGTGGAGGAGGGGTGCGGGAGGGGTACAACAGACGCGGAGGAGGGGGGTGAACAAACACACGCGGGAGGGGTACAACACACGTGTGGGGAGGGGTACAACACACGTGTGGGGAGGGGTACAACACACGCGGAGGAGGGGTGGGGGGGTACAACACACGCGGAGGAGGGGTGTGTGGGAGGGGTACAACACACGCGGAGGAGGGGTACAACACACGCGGAGGAGGGGTGTGGGAGGGGTACAACACACGCGGAGGAGGGGTGTGGGAGGGGTACAACACACGCGGAGGAGGGGTGTGGGAGGGGTACAACACACGCGGAGGAGGGGTGTGGGAGGGGTACAACACATGTGGAGGAGGGGTGCGGGAGGGGTACAACACACGCGGAGGAGGGGTGTGGGAGGGGTACAACACACGCGGAGGAGGGGTGTGTGGGAGGGGTACAACACATGTGGAGGAGGGGTGCGGGAGGGGTACAACAGACGCGGAGGAGGGGACACTCAGCATGGAACACGTCACCAGTTCTCTCAGTAAATATATTTCTAGAGGTGCAACTGACATGAAATGTTCCCCATGTTGGTGACCACCCGCGCCATCCACACACACGCAGGGGCCCACCGCGCCATCCACACACACAGGGGCCCACCCGCGCCATCCACACACACAGGGGCCCACCCGCGCCATCCACACACACAGGGGCCCACCCGCGCCATCCACACACGCAGGGGCCCACCCGCGCCATCCACACACACAGGGGCCCACCCCCGCGCCATCCACACACGCAGGGGCCCACCCGCGCCATCCACACACGCAGGGGCCCACCCGCACCATCCACACACACAGGGGCCCACCCGCGCCATCCACACACACAGGGGCCCACCCGCGCCATCCACACACACAGGGGCCCACCCGCGCCATCCACACACAGGGGCCCACCCGCGCCATCCACACACACAGGGGCCCACCCGCGCCATCCACACACACAGGGGCCCCCCACCCGCGCCATCCACACACGCAGGGGCCCACCCGCGCCATCCCACACACGCAGGGGCCCACCCGCGCCATCCACACACACAGGGGCCCACCCGCGCCATCCACACACACAGGGGCCCACCCGCGTCATCCACACACACAGGGGCCCACCCGCGCCATCCACACACACAGGGGCCCACCCGCGCCATCCACACACACAGGGGCCCACCCGCGCCATCCACACACACAGGGGCCCACCCGCGCCATCCACACACACACAGGGGCCCACCCCGCGTCATCCACACACATAGGGGCCCACCCGCGCCATCCACACACATAGGCAGGGGCCCACCCGCGCCATCCACACACACAGGGGCCCCCCGCCCCATCCACACACGCAGGGGCCGACCCGCGCCATCCACACACGCAGGGGCCCACCCGCGCCATCCACACACGCAGGGGCCCACCCGCGCCATCCACACACGCAGGGGCCCACCCGCGCCATCCACACACACAGGGGCCCACCCGCGCCATCCACACACACAGGGGCCCACCCGCGCCATCCACACACATAGGGGCCCACCCGCGCCATCCACACACACAGGGGCCCACTCGCGCCATCCACACACACAGGGGCCCACCCGCGCCATCACACACACATAGGGCCCACCCGCGCCATCCACACACACAGGGGCCCACCCGCGCCATCCACACACACAGGGGCCCACCCCGCCATCCACACACACAGGGGCCCACCGCGCCATCCCACACACAGGGGCCCACCCCGTCATCCACCGCATAGGGGTCATCGCGCCATCCACACACACAGGGGCCCACCCGCGCCATCCACACACACAGGGGCCCACCCGCGCCATCCACACACACAGGGGCCCACCCGCGTCATCCACACACACATAGGGGCCCACCCGCGCCATCCACATATCCGGCGGCATAGACATCAATGGCTTGCAGGGCTCCTCCTTAAAGGCGGCCCCCCCCATGACACCAGCTGGTCAGTAATTTGTCACTGAATTTCTCCCGTTTACATTTATGTCCGTTTTTGGATTTAGCCTTTTTTAGCTATTAAAGCATTATCTGCACTGCTGCACTCTGGGAAAATCCCTCCTTCTAGCTCCGCCTCCAGCAATCCCTCAGTGATTCCTGGCGATTTCCTCATTACCTGGAAGAGGTTGAATTATTCCATAGGGACTTGTCCAAATACCTGCCACCTAAGGAAGGCCCCCTCCCCCCCCCCCAAGGCTGCACCCCGGATCGTCCAAATACCTGCCACCTAAGGAAGGCCCCCCCCCCCCCCCCCCAAGGCTGCACCCCGGATCGTCCAAATACCTGCCCCCTAAGGAGGCCCCCCCCCCCCCCAAGGCTGCACCCCGGATCGCCCGTGTGAAGGGACCCACGACTGATCCACTATATTAGATACAACACGCATTTAAATAGCGCATCTGGTGAGTGCGCATTTTACACATTTATTGGCACACGCACCCGTGGACTGTGTATACTGGGATCCAATCACATCATCCGAAGATCATAACTAGAATGCACTCCACGTTCATCCGCTTTGTATCAACATCAACATCGGACTCATTTCACTTTTTATATGATCACCATGCACATATCTATAGTGTGTTTTGTACATGTTATCAACACATCTAATTCATACCTGTATGTCACGTGTTTTGGTCATGCGTTTGGCATCAAGATTTTTTAGTTGGTTTTACCATCATATGGTTTTAAAAGTTATATATGGTCACTTTGTTATCAGCAGTTTGATCCCTGCAGGCGGAATCGCAGCCGTCATGTGTGTGCGTTTGTCATGCCGTTAGTTTGTTGTCTACAATTTTAAGCGCTGCACTACCACCTTATATCAGATTTTCGGAAGGCGTCCGTACTCACCCCAACGCCCACCGCTCCGTACTCACCCCAACGCCCACCGCTCCGTACTCACCCCAACGCCCACCGCTCCGTACTCACCCCAACGCCCACCGCTCCGTACTCACCCCCCAACGCCCCACCGCTCCGTACTCACCCCAACGCCCACCGCTCCGTACTCACCCCAACGCCCACCGCTCCGTACTCACCCCCAACGCCCACCGCTCCGTACTCACCCCAACCGCCCACCGCTCCGTACTCACCCCAACGCCCACACGCTCCGTACTCACCCCAACGGCCACCGCTCCGTACTCACCCCAACGCCCACCGCTCCGTACTCACCAACGCCCAACGCCGTACACCGCCGCTCCGTACTCACCCCAACGCCCACCGCTCCGTACTCACCCCAACGCCCACCGCTCCGTACTCACCCCCAACAACCCCACCGCTCCGTACTCACCCCCCAACGCCCACCGCTCCGTACTCACCCCAACGCCCCACACGCTCCGTACTCACCCCAACGCCCACCGCTCCGTACTCACCCCAACGCCCACCGCTCCGTACTCACCCCAACGCCCACCGCTCCGTCTCACCCCAACGCCCACCGCTCCGTACTCACCCCAACGCCCACCGCTCCGTACTCACCCCAACGCCCACCGCTCCGTACTCACCCCAACGCCCACGCTCCACACCGCTCCGTACCACCCCCAACGCCCACCGCTCCGTACTCACCCCAACCCCAACGCCCACCGCTCCGTACTCACCCCAACCAACGCCCACCGCTCCGTACTCACCTCACCCCAACCAACGCCCACCGCTCCGTACTCACCCCAACCAACGCCCACCGCTCCGTACTCACCCCAACCACGCCCACGCTCCGTACTCACACCCAACGCCCACCGCTCCGTACTCACCCCAACGCCCACCACGTACCACCCCCCGCTCCGTACTCACCCAACCCAACGCCCACCGCTCCGTACTCACCCCACCAACCCCACCCCCAACCCCCCAACGCCCACCGCTCCGTACTCACCCCAACCAACGCCCACCGCTCCGTACTCACCCCCCAACGCCCACCGCTCCGTACTCACCCCAACCAACGCCCCACCGCTCCGTACTCACCCCAACCAACGCCCACCGCTCCGTACTCACCCCAACCCAACGCCCACCGCTCCGTACTCACCCCCAACCCACGCCCACCGCTCCACTCACCCCAACCAACGCCC